CGTTATTGCTGAGCAGTGCTGACACAGAGTCAAGGCCTCTTCTGCTTCTCCCACCACCCCACCAGCGAGCAGGCTGGGGGTGCACAAGAAGTTGGGAGGGGGCACAGCCGGGACAGCTGACCCCAACTGACCAAAGGGATATTCCACACATATGATGTCATGCTCAGCATACAAAGCTGGGGGAAGAAGAAGGAAGGGGGGGATGTTCGGAGTGATGGCGTTTGTCTTCCCAAGTAACCGTTACGCGTGATGGAGCCCTGCTTTCCTGGAGATGGCTGAACACCTGCCTGCCGATGGGAAGGAGTGAATGAATGCCTTGTTTTGCTTTGCTTGCACGCGCAGCTTTTGCTTTACCTATTAAACTGTCTTTATCTCAACCCATGAGTTTTCTCACTTTTACCCTTCAGATTCTCTCCCCCATCCCACCGGGTGGAAGTGAACGAGCAGCTGTGTGGGGCTGAGTTGCTGGCTGGGGTTAAACCACAACAACCTCTTGCCATTGTTAGAAGCTATCTCCAGAGTGGAGTAAGTGGCCAGAATGGATCAGACAGAGGCGACAGAGGAGCAGTAAGAACATCAATACCTCTGGGAAGCTCCTGTTTGCAACCAAAAAGTCTCACCCATTGAACTGGCAAAGCTGACTTTTTCTCCCCTTGAAACTTTAGCTTTTGCAACACACAGCAATCATGCTGAACATTTCAGTGTTTCAAGATGAATGCAAATATTGATGTCTCACCCACCAGCACTCCCAGGGAGAGCTTTGCCAGAGTGTAAGGTCCTTCCCACTGCACTGCCACACTACCAGTTCTCAATAAATTAAGAATAAACTGTGCAGCTTTGTATGGGTACCAAACTGCTGCTGCCAAAAGGCTTGTTGTGCTGAATTTCAGACACTCTGGGAAAAGTACAATGACACTTAATGATAAAACTACCATCTCTGCTGAACAATGCCTGAAAATCCAGTTAAGGATCCCTAAGAGAAGAGCCAGAGTAAGAAAGAACAGGCACAGTCCCATTTTAGAAAAGCACAGATGAGAAGTTATACTCACATGGTATTTATTTACGTGAATGCACATTTTCTGATACTGAATGCAAAACACAATCCCGCATCACTGCATGATAACACCACCTTCAGCTTGGTCAATACCTTGTGCACTGGACAGTTGCCCTGCTCATTATTTAAGACACCCGGTAATCTTGTCTTTCTGCTCCAAAGTGAAAGTTGTCTGGGCCCATATAAACCGTAAATTAAGTGCAGCCACTGTTTCCTCTGCTGGATATAGGCATGAATAGCTTCCTATATCCTGAAGTACCCAGAATAGAAAAAAGGGACTTAAGCTTGTCACAGCCATAATGACTCAGTCTCTCATTAAAAGTCACTATTACCAGCAACATCAACTGTCGCAACGAAGGGTTGAGGCTTATGCACCCCATGAAAAATACTGGTCAACCAGCACAGCCTTGCTTGCATGAAGGCTTTAAGCAACTGTACTTGTGTAAGCAAAAAGGCATCAGGCTTCCAGCTAATTAAAAATCTTATTTGTAGAAGTAGGAGTAGGGTACGTATCGTAATAAGTTATCTTGGACAGAAGATACTTTTTTGCTAATGGCATAACAAAGCAACTGTGCTTTGATGTGTCCATCAGCTATACTGAAGCGTGACTAGAACGGGTAGAGCATCGTGCTTCCCTTACGGGATCAGGGCCTGTAATAGCAAACACTTTAAAATACTTACATAGTCATGCCCTGATAACAATGCATTTCATGGTGCTAACAATAATTCAGTGTTGAAGTGACAATAAAATAATGTTTAACCACACATCCAATACATATTACGGGATGCATGGCTATACATATCTTACAGAGAACATTACATCAGACAGCTTATGGTATAAAAGAACATACTTGACTGATGTTTTTGGAGCGATTTTCCCCCCAAGATAAGATCTCAGCCATCTGTCATCTTGCTCCCACCAAGCTAAGGAGGCTGACAGTGTGAAAGAGAAAACCTACTGTAGCTTCCATTTCATTTGAACTGTAAAGAGAGTCTGCAAAACACCAGAGTTCTAATGTTTCAGAAGTGACTATCAATGACAGAGAGGCATAAGAAGCATTTTCTACTGGTCACATTGTCACATGTATCACCCCAGTTCTGAAATGAAAGAAATCCCAGTATCCCCAAGCATATCAAAGACTGAGTGATACCATGGAACATACCTTTGAGATGTTACTAGAGCGGCTCACGGAATGCCCCAAAGCCTTCTCATTCTGAAAGAGGAAGAACAGGATCACTGCAGCAACAAATCACATTTATGAGGATATTTCAAAGCTGGTATTAGAAACCAAATTCCATGGAGAAAGTCTTACAGCTGTGGCTTTTAAGGATTTTGCGTCTATTGACATCAGCCTGATTTACCACAATCACTAAATTGCTTTGTTTGCTTAACAAGATTTTTTTTTTCAGAAAACCACATTGGCAAGACAAGTACAAACTGAGAAATACTAGAACCATTATTTCTTCTCTCTATGAATACTGCAAAGCCCTTTCCTCAGATGGCATCTATTTTGGAAAGGATATTTCTCAGCCCTGCCTCACCTACACCCAAAGGCAAACATCCAACAACTACAACTGAAAGCTCTTGCTTAAACAAAAACAAAAGTATCACAGTGATGTCCGGAAACGATTGTGAATAACCACATGCATGTCATTTCAGGAGACGAAGCAGAATTCCTGAGGAACTTCCTATTTACCGCAGAACTCAGAATTAAACTGGAAATATCATACAAGACGAAAATGCAGAAGCTGCAATTCTCAAAACTGAAATGAGTGACGAAATGTATCTGTTACTTACTTTTCAGTGCACAGACCCTGACTGATAAGGATGACAATCTTACTTCCTACCAAAATAAACCGTAGTTTTCACCAACATATTTCATCCTTTAAGGGTTCCTGGTTTCTGAACATCGATGTACCGTAAATATAACAAGACATGATTGCTCCACTGGTAAGAGCCTAGAAATTGCTCTGGAAATGCTTTTCTGAATAAAATACAACAAGAAATACTTTCTTCTAAACAAATATTACAAACAGAGCAAGTCATAACGGTTGGTTACAGAACAGCATCTACGTTCCTCTAAGTCTGTGAAGCTGGCATGCAAATTGGTTTGAGATTTAAACCCCCTGAAAAACGGGGCAAATTTACTACTTTCTCGTAGGGACTCTATGCTGGATTAGAGTTTCTAGAAGAGCATCCTTTCATCTGGGATTTTAGGAACCAAACTCTTTCACATTTATTCCTGAAGATAATTTAACCTGACAGAGACACTTCAACAGCACCCTCTTTCAGTTCTCATTGGCACTGACTGATCAGACAGAGCTTGAGATCAGAAGTCCTGCACAGATAACAAATGGGGACATAAAAAACCCAGTCAACTGCAGTTACTCCTTGGTCAGCTTGGATATAACACACTGGTTTCAGACCTTCTGCCTGTGGTTTGTTACAATTCAGGCGACCTTCAATGACTGTCAAGTCAGCCCAGGTGGCTGGGCACCCAGATGCTACACCCACACTTTGAGATCCCCATGCTCCCCAGACATTTCTTCCTACAGCTCATCCCCAGAACAACTTCAAAGCTTTGTGTTGAGAAAAGAGAAGGCAAGGCAACAACTTCAGCATGTGCTTACAAAAGCAGGCAGTCCCTTCCTTACAACACCAGTTGCCTCTCAACACAGCCCTGGGCACTGCCTCAGTTGATGGATATAAATTGCACCTCCTCCCTTAAAGCCATGAGGAAGCAAATACTGTGTTCTGAAATCCTCTGTATGTAGGAGTTTGAGTACCCAGAAGACAGTAAAATAGTCTTTCAGAAGAAGAGAGGAGAAGCGACCAGAGAACCCCCCTCAATTTTGACTGATGGCCAAATTAAAAATCAGCAAGGATCAGTTTAAGGTCTGGAATAGTTGTGGCCTAAATTACCATTGACTTGAATGCCAGATTTGCATACTGCAAGGCTGAGTTTGATTTTTGAGATGACTATGAGCTTTTGTTACAGAGATAATAGTATTCCTGGAACAGAAACAAACACGTAAAGACGCCCAAAAATATGGACATAATGGTTATGTGAAGACTAACATTGGACAGGACTACTGCCAGAACCGGTATGGCTAAGAACTGACTCCAACCGTAAGGGATGGACCTAACTGATTTCATCAAAGGCAGTGTAACTATAGCAACAGGGAAAAAAAAAGTTCATTGAAGCTATGGAAGACAGGAGGAAGAAAAAAGGGGGCAGGGACATGTTCTCAAGCTATGACGAAAAGAGACCAACACAAACTGGCAAGCACAAAGACTTGTCATTATATATGTGTGAGGTGTGGGAGGAAGTCGGCTATGCTTGGCCTTCTAGGGATGCAGGGGAGGTAAACGAAGCAAGACTATGTGGGACAAGGGAAAATGATAGTGAAAAGTGGGACCTGTGGCCAAGAAGTCTGCCTGAACCAACACATACGCCTCCACACAGGTGACAGTCTCAAATCCAGCCCTAGATGTCAAAGACTTCTAGGTGAAACAGAACAGAAGTTTCTTCGCGTTAACTCAACGCTCCCCAAATACTGTTGTCTAGCTGAAGAAGATGCCTGCAAGGGAGCATGACTGAACTTACATCTTTTTCAAACACAGGTGCCTATGTTGAAAAGGATGTGCTAAAATTCAGTAAGCATGAACAGGCTGGAGGACAATACCTACATTTGCACAACACGGTAAATGATGCAGAGCAAACATACTCTTAGCCATGCCACAGAAACTAGTTGTTCTGCTCTGCTCCCAGAACTGATTTTATCTGATGGATACCAGCAGCCTCTAAGAGACAGATGCTCTTATTATCTTTATTGATCTACTGTTGGAAACATACCTGTCAGAGATTTCAGTCAGTAGGTGACTGCGTACAGTGGTTTTGTTATTGAAAGAGTGATCATTTTTAAACAAAAAAAGCGGTCTTGAAAAATATTACCTTAAGGGTTACGGAGCACGTGCACACATATATTTAAGTATCGGTGATATTTCTAAAGGACTCCTAGACACCTAAATGCTCTTCACATCTCAGTTGCTTTACCACATAAAGCTGGTACATCCATAAAGTCAACAGGAAATTCACTACAGCCTTAGGCCAGGCTGGCCAAAATCTGTACTCTAATGGGCTACTTACGCCAGCTAGCAGGAGAAGCACCAACTCAGCCATATTTTCAAGGAGTGACAACTAACCCAATAGCCGCTACCAAATCTAACGCAGACTTGCAAATAAACACACATTTTCCAGTCTGGTTGGCCTGTCAACTACCAAGCAGCCCCATCACCCAGATAAAATTGCTTCAGCCCTTGGACATCAACTGACCCTGTCTTAGCCTGTCTTCTAATCAGAGGCATTTTTTGAAACAGCTACTCCAAGTCTCACAGTTTACATACACGCAGACTTTAAAATGTGTTGGGCTGAAAACAGATAAACAACTGAGTTTCGCTGTGCAACAGCAATTTCCAGTTCACTATGACCTCTCAAGTAGCACCCCTGCTGAAGGAACGTACAGTGCTTTCTTGCCAGCTTCTGCAAAGGACCAAAAAATTGTATTTTTTTTTTTTTTAAATCATTAAACACCAACAGAAACACCTCTAAGTGATACAGTTCATGAAGCCTAGCTGTGCTGTTTAATTCTCTTTTGCAAATAAAATAATAAACATCTATCCTTCAGGAAAAAGCACTGTGGAAGCCATTAAATAGAGCCAGTGCTTGCTCATGTTTCCCATGCTGCAATACATTAAGGATGCCATATGTTTTCCAGTTATTAAGACAGAAAAGAGCTGCAAAGCCATGGAAGGAGCTCCTGGAATAGCTAGATTTTAATGGCAGGCACAATTACTAAATGAGGAACAGAAACGTTAAATAGATAAAATTTATTTTTAAATGCAAACAAACAAAAGCTCACTTTTCACACTATATCCATTACTGGTACATTCACCCTGGGATCTTTCACCAATTATTCACAAATTAACACCGACATGGGAGTGGAAAGGCTCAACTTCTGTTACGGTACTATCACTACTCAACAAATAAAGGTCTTCAGAGACTTTTTCTAGTATGTTCCCATTGCACAGTAAGACATATTCTAGTCTGGTAATTACAGCTCCAAACAAGATCTCCCTCCCTCTTGCAAAGCGTTAGTCTTTGCACTTGAATGAAAGGTCAAGACAAATGCAACATCTGCCAGCATAGACCATACAATTATCACCAGTTAAAGCAAGTGTCACTCTACTGTAGCAGATCAGTCTTTCTGTATGGGATAATGGGAATCCTGCCTTTCAAAATCATCCTACTCAACTAGAACCACCTGGCAGGCACTTAACAAAAAAAATCTAGATAGGAAAAAATTACAAGTGCAACTTGTAACTTCTCCTGAGCCACTCACTGCCAGCTGCTGCTCTGAGGTCCCCATCAGAGCCTGGCTCTAGGGAAACAAAGAGGAAGGCAGAAACAGGGAAATGACTGAAAAACAGAAAAAACTGCTACCCATTCCTACAGTGACATGTTTCTCTAAACTTTGGATGCACTTGCTTGCAATTGCCTGAATCCTGCTCCCAACTTTCCTTTCTTTTTCTTGAATTTGCTCCCTACTGTGAGTGACAGAGCTGCCTCCTTCCTTCAGCAGTTACTTCAGCTCACATCTGCTTTCCTGCACAGCTCTTCATCTTGCCTTCTCCACCTTGCTGGCTCATTTTCCCTTCTGCCACCATTCCTTGGTTACTTTTGCACGACACCTCTCCCTTCTCAGTTCAGAGATCTAGAAGCCAACACCTCCCTCCCATCTTCCCATGTACCTCAGCCTTCCATATTTAGCACTTCAAGTTATTTTACCCTTGCTTCCCTACCATAACATATCCATTTTCCACTAAGCACAACAGCTATGTAACTTACCCAGCCAAACCCAGAAGCCGCGTGAACCCCAAAACACCAGTTCCTATCACCTGAGCCAGAAGGAGGGTCCCCACCCACTGATAACAATTCAGGCAGCCATAGCTGCTCTTGTGCACTTACAATACCAATGTATCATGCTGACCTTTCTCCAAACTCAGCTGTAGACTTAATGCAGCCTCAGCAAGTGGGCACCCTAAAGAAATACAACTTGGATGTCCTTGTCAGGGTGGAAGGAGAAAAATATCTTGGTAAAATGATTTGGATTTTGTGTTTCCAACATTTTGGTTTTCAGTCATTAAGGCAGG